TGCACGGATCCTCCATACTAGTATCTGATTCAAAAGAAACTTTATTGAGTAGAAACCCTTCAAAAAGCACGTACTATTAAATTTTATCATAGATCCTAATAAACTGCTTTATTTTCCTTGGTACCCTGATGCATGTCTTCCTTCTGTAGCTTTCAGTTTATTGGCCCCTTTCCTAAAAAATTGGCCCCTAAAAAAGATCTTCAGGGGCCACTTTGGCCCTCAAGTAAAATTTTCTGGCTCAAACACTGTTATTCTGTGATAGATAGTGAGTAGCGTAGCAGCGTGCCCTTGTAAACAAAATGACGGCCCTTCTTGGCGCTTTCGAAGTGTCTGTGAAGAGGATAAAGTTTCGAACGACTGGTAGATTTATACTAAAACAATTGGGTTATTCGCTCACGATTTCTATGCGTGATAGTTGACTCGGGCTCCGCCCTCGTCAACTGTCACGCGATAGAAATCTTTAGCTCATAATCTAATTGTTTAATAGTATGTGGTAGTTTCCTTTAAAACAACACTGGTACGAATTTTTTTCTGAAGGGCACCCGCGAAGGTATTGTGATTTTCCTAAAATAGCCTCGCAGCTTGACCACGCGCTAAAATTAGATTGAAATGATTATCATCGGAATAAGCCCATTTATCATATGACCCGTACGGCCCCGCGTGCAATCTCCTTGGAAAACCATAAGAGAAAAGGTCCCGTATGAGGGCCGTACGCGTCGAAGTGATAGGGCTGGAAAAACGCGTACGACCCTACTAGAAAGGCGTACGGCCCTATTAGAAAGGCGTACGGCAAAATCGATGTGAGTCAATGACAAAAACAATTTTGTCGCTGCAAAATTTTGTTCTCTTCAAAATGAGTGATAAAAATGAACATTCTGAGAGCGAATTTTACTATCCAGGCGAACTGTCCGATGCAGAACTACTTCAGTCGTCAATTCAGTCCGAAAGCACAGAAAGAAAGTCAACACTCTTTACAAATGAAGTTCACAACTTTCTCAGAAGCCAACAACAAGCAAACAGGCAATCAAGAATGCAACCTTTCCGGATGAACTGTCCGATAATTAACCTTTGGAATAAGCAAACAGTATGGAGGCGAAACTTCTTTCAGTGGAAAGCATCAAAGAATTGTTCGTAGGTCAAAAGCAAGAAAAAAACATGAAAAAAACAAAGTACGACATGAATGTTTTCTTCGAGTTTCCAGAGTTTCTGGGAGTTGGTTAAACCAGAGAAATCACAAACTTACCTTGTGTACAGTAGTGTAAATTGCTCTTGAGTTTGTACATCAGTGTTGTTTGAAGAGACAAAACTGAGTATGAACACAAGTTCATTACCGTACAGTTCATCCAGATAATAAAACTCGCTTGTGTATAATGGTGTAATTTCCACTACACAGCAAAGCCAGCAAAGTCAGCAAACCCAGACACTGTTTGCGGGAGCCAACATCGGTGTCATTAATATTAAGTTGCTGGTTCTCCCTTGTTCAAGAGAATCCAAGAGGTCGACAAAACGCTTGAAACGACGCTGACATTTTCTTGAGTCTTCAGACGAAGACGATTTGTGAACAATTTCAGTGAAGCGTGAAGCGAACTTTTGCCACTCGCCAAGTGTTTGATGGTTTTGACATATTTTTGACAGCTTTATGTCAACTTTCTGTTGGTTTTTTAAACAGGCTGGCCAATCCCGTTAGCATGAAAGATAATTGAGGACTTACATTGAAAAACAAAAATGAGAAAAATAGTCGTGTTTTTCGATGAATTATGAGTTTCTTGTTCGACACGAAGAAATAAATGACAAGTTTTTATTGTAAAATCTTAACCCATTGACTCCTGGAGCTTTTTGCAAAAAAAAAAAAACACGCATTTTTTGGACATTTTGGAGATTTTCAGGCTGGATATAGGCCAAATTAGTTCTCATCTACTCAAAAGGCATTTGCAACATGAAAGCTTGCCTTTCTTTCCATTAGCATCGCATTTTACGACATTTTGGCTCGGGCATGCGCAGAAATCAAAATTTTGGGTGTTTGGACGAGAAAGTGACCTACGTCTTTAGGCTTTTCGATTTTTTAATTTTTTTTTTTCGCCTTTCCTTTATCTTCTGTTCTTTTCTTTTTGCTGTAGTGATTGACCTTCTACTGGGCTTGCTTCCAGTTCAAAAACTTCTGAGAAAGCGTCATCGTGACGGGCAATTTTTACCATGGAGTAGCCACGTGTACTGGCAGGAAATTTTGCTCTGAGTTTTTCACTCAACTTTTTCAGCATTTTTGTGCATATCTCGGGCTCCACTGGGCCGATCACTCTGATCTGTGTATCATTGGAAAGATCTTTTCCTCCTACTGAAGTTTAGCATAGATGATGCCAATTTTGGTCAAAGGTGATGACGTCAGAAGTGGAAGAAACGCTAAGGCTTGTCACGGCCGGTTACAGCCGGCACAGGAGTCAATGGGTTAATTGTGGTTGTTCCACGCGCAGCCGTCTGATGTTATGTAATTGCGTTCTTCCTAGGTTCAAACAGAATTTTCAAAATTTTTAGGTCATATTATAAAATGCTTATTGACTGTGCTCGGTCTTTATGTCCTGACCTCGAGCCAAATATTTTCCTGTCCGGCCCTCCTATGCAGTCAATAAGTACATAGTATAGGGGATGTGTTCTCACAGATCATATTCTCTTGTTCAACTACAGTGGTAAACTCCCAGAATACAAGGTTGAATAAAATTAAATGAAACAATTTTCGCCCGGGTAGGTACTTGAAATCCGTCACGGATGGGCTAAGTTTGAGCGCAGGCTGCAACTCATTCCACAGGGAGATCGCTCACAGAGAGTTCCTGGTTAACCTTGTCGAGACGGCGGATCTTCTTAAAAGTTTAGATGTCAAATACTCTGGAGCACATCCCGACATGCACTTAAAAACCAGCCAAATGTTTTCCCGTCCGGCCCTCCCACGCAGTCAGTAAGTACATAGTATAGGGGATGTGTTCTCGCAGATCATATTCTCTTGTTCAACTACAGTGGTAAACTCCCAGAATACAAAGGTTGAATAAAATTAAATAAAACAACTTTTGCCTGAGTAGGTACTTGAAATCCGTCACGGATGCGCTAAGTTTGAGTGCAGGCTGCAACTCATTCCACAGAGAGGTCACTCACAGAGTTCCTGGTTAACCTTGTCGAAACGGCAGATCTTCTGACGAGCTTAGATGTCAAATACTCTGGAGCACATCCCGACATGCACTTAAAAACGAGAACAGCAAAACAGAAATAGAATGAGGAATATACATTCTAAATAGCGCTTACACTGTAGATAGCGCTATTGGGCTCTTACGCTTTGAGAACGAAGAATATTCATCGTGTTTTGCGCTTTTGGGCATTCACGTTTAGAACAAAGAATATATATTCTAATTAGCGCTTTTGGACTCTCCCGCTTTAGGACTTAGATGAGCATACATTGTATTTAGTGCTGTTAGGCTCTCACGCTTTGAGAACGAAAAATGTTATTTTTGCGCTTTGGGGGTATTCACGTTTTTGGAACGAGGAACATAAATTGTCCTTAGTTTGTCATTATGTATGCAGTTCACCAACTGTACGACTCGTAAACCATTGTTTCTCAACCCGGACGACCTCCTACTGTCGAGGTAGAAGAGCTGTCGTACCAATGATATGCAGGTTACCATTGTTCCACGACCTGTACGACTCGTAAACCATTGTTTATCAATCCATGCGACCTTGTACTGTCGAGGTAGAAGAGCTGTCTTACTAATGATATGCAGGTCACCATTTTTCCACGAACTGTGCGACTCATGAACCATGGTTTCACGACCTGTACGAGTAGAACGAGTCGTATGAGTCGTCCGAGTCCTGTCAAGCCATTGACGGGTTGTATCTGTGCGACAGTATTGGACAAGGATGTATCAAGCAATGCACAGTGTGTCTTGAAGCATGGCCTTAAAGTGCAACATAAAAAAAGCTTTATGTATATAACTCGGATCGTGTTTACTGTAGGTAGTCTCGACCAATATGTCGGTCGATCTATCGGTCAACAGTCGGTCGATAGTCGGTCGACAACCGGGCAGTAGTTGGTCAATATAGAGACCTGGGAGCCTGGGATGGAGCCTGGGACGAAGTGAAGATGGCAGTTTCTCTGCTCTGGGGGCTATTCCTGCTTAAAAACATGCTTGGCGATGGCAAATAACCTTGAACCACGAACAGTGAGGTGACCGTAGAGGACACAAACACTTCTACCAAGAGAGATAATCTAAAGAGGATTAGACTAAAATGAAGCTCACAGGAACGAAGAACGAAGCTCGCAAACCGATGATGAAGAATAACAACAAGACACCGTCAAGCTGTGCTTTAACAAACAAAAACTTATTGAAGAAAAATTGAACTAGGGTATCTAAAAAATAGTAATGCTGCGGCACACTCTATCGATAGGAACACTTTTTACGCGGTGATTCATCTACAACTTCATGCATGACGACGCATCGATAGCGAGGTGCGACAACAGATTGTGGCAAAAAAGCACATAGTGATCTAAACTAGTAGTGATCGTAGATAAAAGAGTGTGTTCCAGTTTTGGTAGGCTTGGTATGTTAAAAAAAAAAAAAATTCTAGAGAAAGCATTTTGTGCCTGAGCTGTTAGGTAGGCGTGAAATTGGTCTCCCCTCAGCAGGGGCAAAAACAAATGAATTGATCGCAAAGCACGTGCATAAGAGAGGTTTTGTTCTCGTTTATGCATGTATTGTGTAATATTAGTTACGACTGGTCAGTAAAAAACATGGACTGCAATCGGGAGGCCGCATTTAGTCCGCAGTCTGAATTTTATACGAGTCTGCGCAGGTTTTATGCCGTAATGTAAGTCCGTAATGCTTAGTCAGCTTCAGCCAAACTACAGCTTTCTGTTCGCATGAAAAGTTGTACACATTTCGAGACGACACGTATGCAAGGTTTTTAAATGCCATTAACACTGACGTTGAACTTTAAATAAACAACTTATCCGCTACAGTCTTCAATAAGCTGCCTCGAAAAAGTCGTACACATTTCGTGAAGACATGTCTACAAGGTTTTTAAATGCCATTAACACAGACTTCGAACTTTAAATAAACAACTTCAGTATCTGCTACAGTCCACAATAAGTTTCCTGGACACTCAAAAGTCCGCAATATTGCGCAACACTCGAAAGAAAGCACACGGACAAACATGGACATGACGTCATTCGCCCCTGAAGAATTTTTTGGAGGCCCAAATTGGTGTCTCCAGATTTATAGATCTCGAATTTTTCTGCATCACACGATTAGAACTGCGTTTTGTCGAACGCAAGTATATTTGGACATGAAACGATACACATTAACCTCCCTTTACCATATCGTGAAAATCAAAAGATATGGAAATTGTAGGAGCAGAAATCTAACTCATAAATTCTGTACTGATACGCATTAAATGTCTCTAGAATGTTGACAGATTTTGGGACGCGTCCATCACGATGTGTGAAAATGCTTAAGCGTTAGCTTAAATTCATATATATGAAATTAGCATGTTCTACGGTTTTCATTAATTATTCTGCAAGCTTTAGTAACGACGATTTCTCTTTGTGAGCTACACGGATGTTGTAGGGCTGTAGGATCCGTGACATGGTCTCAGAAGTGCCCTTAATGTAAGGTATAGTCACTGTAGTAACAGGTGTAGGGTTCCTCTTCGTAGGGTCAGCTTCAGTAGGTCGGTAAATGTTTCGTCCAATAAAGTCAGCGTTGTAGTTGTTTTTGTGAAAAACACGTTCAAGGTGTCTGTTTTCGTCACGTAAGCTG